AAGAAGTGGCAAAGGACGCTAGCTCGTGGGTGGTACTCTTACCTGACTAAAAATGGGAAGAAACAATGTCTATATATATATGTTCAATTTTACAACTCCACACTCTTCTCTTGTAATTACTATCTAAATTTCAATTTTCCGAACTCTATTATTTTGATATTGTATCGCCAAAACACTCGCCTACTTTTAAAATTAAATGTAGTGGAGAAGTGCAGTTGCCAGTTGCTTATATATGTTCAGAAACATGAGACAGAGAGAGAAATTATTGAACAAACCATGTACCATACGAAGGAAATCTTGACATACTTCATCCTTTTTCTTCTCTTAACCAGCAGTTCCACCTACTCAACAATCCCGAACCAGTCTCTGAAAGATGAAGATATATTAGTCTACAGTGGAAAAGCATTTGCTTTTGGTTTCTTCAACCCTGGAAAATCCAGCAATCGATATGTTGGGATTTGATATAACAAAGTTGTAGAAAAAACAGTTGTACGGGTTGCCAATAGAGACAATCCCATTTGGGACCTCCGGATTTCTTGAAATCGACCCTGCTGGAAATATGGTTTTATCCGATCCAAGTCACAATCTTTCTGTCTGGTCAACTAATGTGATGTCAATGACCCGACAATCACAGGACCAGCCCTGCTAGAGAGTGTGTTCAAATTGGAAATTATTGCCACGCCCCGGATTTTTTATTTATTTATTTATTTTTTTTTTTTGGGCTCAAGGTTACAAACAGGTTGTTTAAGTGGACCATGGAATGGTGCGCAAGAAATGGTTTCAAATTTCATCTTCAAAATTAGTTGTTGAAAATGGTCATGAAGTAGGTATATAACATACACTGTAAAAGACCCACCAATCTTGAAAGATTGATGATAAATGAATCCGGGACTCTGGAACGGCTTATTTGAAAAGGAAGTAAGCATGGATTGGCAAAACTTTAGTCTGCACCCCCTGATCAATGTGATAAGCACGCTGTGAAGCGTGCAATAATTGTGACCTGTACAATTGAATATTCATGCCTTCCAGGACTTGATTACAAACTAGAATGTCAATGGTACATAAAGGAAGCATCACATGGATGTAAAAGAAAGCAGGAAGGAAATATATGTGGGAATGGAGATGGATTTAGAAAGGTGACAAATTTGAAAGTCCCAAACACTTCAATTGCACTTGTGAACAAGAGTTTAGAATTGAAAAAATGTCAAGAATTGAGCCTAAAGACATTTGCAAGTGCTAATATCAATGGAAGAAATGTTTGCATCACTTGGCATGGAGACTTGGTAGATATCAAGCTCTTTCAAACAAGGGCCAGGATTTGTACGTAAGAGTTCCTTCTGTGGAATTAGGTATTCACTCTACATTCTCTCAAGTCTAATATCGATTTGTGATTGAATTTCCCCAAAATAGAAATATATATGTATTGAAAAGCACAAATCAAGTGATTGTTGTTCCCAGCAGCAAACAATAATGGTTGCAGAGAAATTCGTTAAACTAGTGCAGTTTGTCTCCTTAGAAATGATTATTCACATTATTCGTTCTCTATAATTTAAAAATGAGGACTACGATAAGATTTTGAAATCTCCAAAGATGGCAAATTTTTATTTTTTTGAAAGATGTCGAATAAATATATAGCAACTTAAATCTTTCTCATCAATAGAAGTCCTCTATTTTCAGCTCAGAATACAAGGAACACTTGAGCTTTCGTGGGTAGAGATTGGCAATATTGTCAATTCTAGTATTGCTTCTCATAATCTTCTTAGCGTGTTGGTTGTTGATGAAAAAGAGAAAAAGGTAAGAAATAGTTCTTTTAGGTGGACATTTCTAGCCAAAGCAAACAGATAAAAGGAGCGAAGCCACTCGACTGTAAGGAGAGGAGATGAAAGGGAAGAGAGAGTGAAGAGTCCCTACCTTCATTAAAGGGAGAGTGGGCAGCGGGCTCCTTTCGATTGACTTTTTAGGTTGCTTGCTAAGATAACATCACCAAGCTCCGCTTTAGGCAATGGATGACTATCACTTACTGAATCGAAGGGTCAATCTCTTCCAGAGCATGCTGCACAGCCACTCATTTGTCCTGACCAAAATCTATGTCTCAGCAATTCTTTTCTTCGCTAATCACCCCTTCCCAACCAGCTCACCCGATCCAGGAACCCAAATCTACTGTTTTGTGCCACGCAATTGAGCTTTCCCCTTTCCCATTGTGACTTCCATTCTTGTTTTCTATTACATGGGAAAGCCACTCTCCTTTCTTGGAGGATATGCCTTTACTACTTGTTAGGAAAAATAACTTCTAAAGTTTCATCTTACAGTTCTAGGACTGGTTTCTGTCCTGCCTAGTAAGATTGATAAGGATCGTCTACATGTAGAAAGGGGATCCTAAACTAAAAAGGAGTCAATGACCCAGGGGAGGTCGCCTGCATAACGGATTGCTTGCTTACCATGCCATCCTCCTCCTGCTCACTACTGCAAGCAACTTTCCAGTAAACTTGAAATAATCATTGTCTATACCTTCATGACACCGAATATTTGGAGATTATCATGCCTATTCGATAAAAAGAATTTGTGCAATTTAAAGAGGGTTTTTTAATCCATTTAACTTTACTATTATCAGCTTTTTCTGCCCTTATGCAAAACAGACTAAAATAGTTTTTCTAGGTGGACTCTAGGCTAATAACTATTAATGAACCATGAATCTGAGGTGTACAATCCCTTCAGCACCAGCTACTTTAAAGCAGTGTTCTAAAGAGCATAAAGCGTGGATAGGTGTAGAGGCCGAGTTTCAAGCTTTACGAGGAAAGGTATAGGCGTAAAAAAATGTTTTTTTTTTAATTTTTAATGTTATATCATTCTAAAAATCATTTAGTAATTAAAATAATATATACTAAATATCTGAAATTATAATATATTATATTTACAATACAATTTTCAAAGTTTTGAAATGCAGAAGCTAAACTATTATTGTTTTAACTTTCAATTGGAGATGTCCTACTTAACATACTTATAAGAACTTCATATTTACTTTCGAACTTTCCAATAAAATGATGTCTCAAAATCATAACATAGTGTAGATAACACTGTAACTTAAATCTTATGTCTCTTTATCAGATAAAATCATTTTTGACTTTTTTTATACAGATAAATTCATTTAAAAACTTAAAACTAAAGTCAAATGAAAGCCCTTTAAAAAGGTAAAATACAAATTTAATAAAATGAAGTCAAATAAAAGACTTTTATAAAGGAAAAAAATTAATAAAGCGCTCCTAGGCGTCAACTTGGCAATTGACCGCCTAATTTCGCATTTACTATCAAGCGTGGCGTTTCGCCTGAGCCTCATTCCTAGACGCCACCTAAGCACTTTTTTATAATGGAGCTATAAAGTATATAATACTATTGCCCGTATGAGAAAAGCGTAACTCGAAATTTAGTCTTTATTTGGCCATCAGGTAAAATTCACTTCAAGATCTTACAGCAAGACGCCAGGCATTAGTATGTCATTAATGGAATTCCATGTTGACAGACACAGAAGGACAAAGAAAGCCTTAATTTAGCTTTAGCACTAATTTAACATCCTTTGGCAGTAGGGAGTGGGAGATAAATGGTAGTGGAACAAATGCTGAAGTGTCAATCTTTGATCTGAGCACCATTCTTTCAGCCAGGGAAGTTTTTCTCTCGCTAACAAACTTGGAGAAGCCGAAAAGGCGGCTTTGGTGCAGTTTACAAGGTATATTCTCACAATAATTGAACGGTCTATTCCTCTGGCCATTATTGCTTGATCCTCTCTATCCACTTATTGTTTTTTATGGCATTTGGAGGATGTATTATTAGATAGGTTGAGTTACAGGTTTTTTAGGCCGAAGTATGCCCATCTTTTCACATTCAACTACGAATTAACTTTTAGGGTCAGCTTTTTAGGTCAAAAGACGGTCAAGAATATCATGACAAATTCTAAAATGAATATAGAATTAAAGAAAGATATTATTTAATTTATGAAACAGATTTCAATTTGACAAATTTTTTGGTATGTTTTATGCTTAATTTTTTAGGGTTGTGATTTATTGGTTTAATTTCCAGATTGAAGGAAGGAATATGTTTGCAAGCCAATGTTTTTGAATTGGGAAGGCTACTTACGCTAAGGTAAGAAATACCAATTTTGGAGAAAACCTAGAATTTTTATTTGGGTTTTTGAATGAGTATAGTTAACGGGAATAATTGTAGAGATGAAATATTCATTTAAAGGCATGAATTTATGGAGCAAGATGGAAAATTAAATTGGTTAAATTATAATTATTAGTTTCACTAGTTTGGAAGAAGGAATTATTTTTATGTTTGGAGAGAAGATTATTTTGATGAATTAGATTATTTTGATGAATTAGATTTTAGTGTAAGGGCTAGAAGGTAGAATTAGTTTCAATTGTGAAGGAAATTAAAGAATATGTCCAAATGTCGAGAAGTCAAGTTCTAGTATTTCGTAGTTAAAAGTTAAGGATACTTCCTAGAGTGGTTGTTAAATTTGTTATTTTGTATCATATTTTAGGAGATGACGACAAGATTGAAATCATGATCAGTCCTTAACTTGGTGAGTGGATATATAAACTTATTTTTCAGAAATTAGTATTCATTAAATTTAAACTAAATCAGAAAATTCATTATTTCATATAGTTGATTTGACAGCATGATTTTCAAAATAAAGTTGATTTATAAACAGTTATTTTTAAAGTTAAATTCAGTTCAATCAAATCATTTCATTAGCATACTATTTCAGTATCAAATATTTCAACGTATTTAAAGTTATTTTTAAAACCACCAGAAAGTACTCAGGTAATTTTACCCTAATCTGCACTGTTGTGAATGTGTTTCCACAGTATACGACTAATTATGGTTATTTTACCTGCTCTACACTATTATGAATGTGTTTCCATAGTGTATGACCAGATTATCAGAGGTCTTTGAGACCCACTCTCGTACATACGTAGGCTTTGGACCGTGTACTATGGTGATTAGCCTTTAGAACAGCTCTACGTATGTATGACCAAACTATCAGATTGTCATATTTGAATAGCTTTGCTTTGTACAACGAGATTACTCTGGACATGAGTAAGGTTATTCATTTGGTACCTTTTTGATGTGATTTTCAATAATATACAGCTTATCATATTTCCGACTACAGAATTTAGCTTATTCAATTTGTAGAGTAATAATTTCAGCTTATAGTACTGTGAAAGGGTATTTTCACTTATACTTACTGATATCAGATTATTTATATTTATTATACTTTAAAGCTGCTTATCAAGGATGAAGAATAAAGAATTTTATGATACATTCATGTTTAGTTTTAAAAAATGTTACTAGATTTCAGAATTTTTTAAAGTTTTAATAGCGCAAGAATTTAAAGAAAATATTCATAAACAAGAAAAGTATACTTATTTGCAAACCATTCACTCATTGAGTTACAAGCTCATGTTTTGCCACCCTTTTTTTTAGCAAATGGCAGCAGAGTTGAGCATCCTTGGAGCCTGTCGATCCACCGAACTAAGCCACACACATTGCCATTATTTGTATGACTCATTTTGTCAATCTATAGAATTTATATCTTTTTTTTTTGGGCACACATGTATGTTTGTCGAAAAATTTAATTAGCAAGTCATGTATCCATATCTTGGGCTCACTGCATATTTGGTATCTTTAGTGTTTTTGGGGTCTTTTATTTGTAAAGCATAGTAAATATCAACTTGCCAGCATTTAATTTTGAATAATTTGTATTTTGAGGGATTAGTGTGTCCTATTTTAAATTATATGAACGGATTTGAAAAAATTGGTTCTTGTTTAAATGGTTTTAGTTCATATTTCAGGTAAAGCTCTATCAAAATGTTGTTAAAAATATTTTTCAGTCAAGCAAGTCAAGTTGCCTCGGTGGTGTGTCCGGTGTTTAGTTGGTATCTACCATCGGTGCACGACACGTGTTGAGTCCACTAAGGTGATTCAGGAGAGGTCGTGTCATGATATATGTCTATGAAGACTCTAGACTAAGAATTATTCATAGGGATTTGATAGTTAGCAACATCCATGAATCCCAAAATATCTTATTTTGGTCTAGCCAGGATTTTTGGAGTAGTCCAAAACGAAGAAAACACCTATGGAGTAGTTGGAACCTAGTGATTTATAATCACACACCTAAATTTTTGTAGACAAATGACAGAGATGACAAATTAAAGGAAGGGCACTTTAGCCTTGACTTTTCTGAAGGTCCGATTGCAATGGGCATAAGTCACCATAATATGCAATGGAAGGGCACTTCTCAATAATGTCTAATGTTTACAGTTTGGGGGTTTTACTATTGGAGATCATCTGTGGCAGGAAGAATAGTAGTTATTTTCAAGACAATACTGTGAATTTGATTGGATATGTAAGTATTTGCATCTTTAAATTCTAAACTGAAATCATTGCTTCATTATCAAGCTATGCTCCAAAAAATTCTTTGGGCTTGATAGAAGGATGAAGACATTGATTGGAGTTAAATAGAGTGAAATTATTGTAGGTAAGTATTTCATATCTCTAATTCAGGTTTGGGACTTGTAGAGAGAAAAAGAGCATTGGATATAGTAGATTCATCAGTCGACAACTCTTACAAAGACAACAAAGATTTGAGGTGCATTCTTGTTGGTCTTTTGTGCGTGCAAGAATATGCTCCTGATCAGCCCACGACGTCAGTAATAGTTTTCATGTTACATGTTCAATATGCTCCTGATCAGCCCACGACGTCAGTAATAGTTTTCATGTTACATACTGGAACAACTCTCATCCTAAAGCAAACTTCATCTATCATCAAGAAAGATAGTACTACTCTATACTCATCACCAGCTAGTTTAAAAATCAAATATGCGAATAATATGTCAGTTACCGTGGTTGAAGCTCGCTAAAGGCTTCCTGTAAATACTTTCCTTTTTTAATGTAGTTCAAGGGGTGTATATTAGCCCAATATGAGGCAAAAGGGGGAAAAAACCAAAAAAACAAAAAATAAAAAAAAATAAAAATAAAAAAAAAAAAAAGAAAACAAAAACAAAATCTGTGCCAACATAAATGCTCCTTGTATTTGACACTATTGATGCATAGAGTTGATGTATACATTCAGTACATGTTTTGCATGTAGTTGTTGTTCACAAAATTATTTCTTTTGATTTAAAACTCACTGCAAGTGTGCGGTTCGTTAACAAGTAATAAAATGGACTATGAGTCCAAGTATCGATTCCACAAGGATTGAATTAGTTCAAATCAACCTATTATGACCTTAACCGAAACACGAAAATAAAATTTATGTATTGTGATTTAACTAAGGAAGATGTGACCTATGATGCAATTATGATTGAGAAACTTATATTAAATGCAAAATGACTTGGACGCAATCTACGAGAATTTATGGAAATTAATGAATTTATTAACGCACTAGAATCACGAATTTCCAAGTAACACCCGTTCAACATTTAATTATGCAAATTTGACACACATTTCCACAATTGATAAATCAATATTCCTATTTTAATTTAGCAATCTCTCTCGAGCAATGCCAAACTTACCTCAATATGTGATTCGACTATATCTTTATGACGAACGCTAACATACAGAAATACATTATAATTTCATGAATATTCAACAATTCACACAAGGTATAGAAGTATATTTCTATCCCCTATCGAATGCATAAAATAGGCCAACAAAATCATATAATTATGTGCACAATAATAATATGAAAATAAAAACATATAAATCATTCAATTCTGGAACATGTGTTTAAATATGTCAAATCAAAAATCAAACGTAATATTGCAAGGTTCATCGATCTCCTAGTAATGAAAAATCTAGCCTAACATGTTAAAAAGAAGAAAATACAAAAATAGTTGAAGAAACATCATCACCCGAATCAAGTTTCAATCAAATCTTCAATTGACGCAATGTTTTTCTCTTGTTCTCTCTTCATTTTCTTCTTCAAAATCTCTCTTCTTCTTGTAAAAACGGCGTCCTCCTCGTTCTGTTTATATAGGACCTTAAAAATCTTGTTTCCATAAGAGTTTCGACGAAATAAGAAAACTACAGATTTGGCCTTCGAGTTGCTCTATGCGACTACATAGAGCATCTCTATGCGGTCGCATAGAACAAAAATTAACCGAGAAATAATTCTCGGTTTGCCTCTATACGACCGCATAGAGGGTCGCATAGTGCTACCAACTATGGAAAAAAGTCAATTTTGGTTTTGCTACTTGAATCCTTCACTTCTTGGCATCTTTTCTTCATTCTTTCCATTCCATCATCCTAAGATATCATCAATTGACATTTGGCTTAATCAATTTCTTGATTTGTTCATCGGGTCAACTTTTGAATAATTGCACCTTGGTCCCTGAACTTTCACTTTGCGTCATTTTGGTCCTTTTTCGCGTCTTTTCTCCTGAATTTCACCATGTTCATCGGTGTTCCCTACAATTCATAAATGTAACGAGATTAAGTCACAATTCAATAATTTTGCTCGTAATTAAGTTATGTTTGTGGCCTAAATAAATTTGCAAAAACACACTTATCAGTTGTCATTCTCTAGACGTGGAGGTGGGCTATGTTGCAATGGAATTGTTCTCAAATGAATAGTTCTTGAGAAGGATTCTGGTCCTATCCTAGGCGATAAAGGGTTAGTCTGCACCACTCCCATCGGCTGTTGCTTTTAGACAAGTAGTTACATCTTTCTTCATTACTAGCATGATGCATTATCAACATGGAAGTTGCGAAGAAGATTTTTGTTGAAATAACTTGCATGCTATATGCTATTAAACTTAGGTACTCGGTAATCTTCTGTAATGGGGAATTATTAGGAATTTCCACATTCAGGTCGAATATGTGGATTTATGAGCTTTGACCATATTCTTACTGCCGAAGCCCTTTTCTCTTTATTTTTCCTTCGTTTTACATGAATGTAAGAGTTCCGTATTAAAAGGTCTTTTGCGCACACTCTTGCCTCTCTTTACCTTAAAAGATTTGATACTTGAGAATTATGTGTATTCAGTAGTTGCAGTCACATATTTAAGGTTATTCTCCTAACAAACACACAGCAAGGTAAGAGCACGGAATACTTGACCATGAATTAGTACCTTGGAAAACAAGAAATAGCACATTGTGAAAACTTCAACCTGGAATACATGAAGTGGGAACACGTAAGAGAACTTAATGCTTGAGCCTGGAATATTACCATGGAAAACAAGAAATAACGCATTGTGGAAACTTCAACGAGGAACTGATACACTACTATTTATCTAAACCCCTCCACCGCCACCAAGTGTGGACTTTGGATTCTGATATTCAAGTCAATTTCTAGAAAGACCAGAGCTCTAAGTTAACCAATTGAAATGTAGCATGTTGAAACTAATAACTTGGAAAATTACCGTAGAAGAATTTTGTTGAACATTTGGACTGCAACAACTGAATAACATTGTTAGGTCCGTCCCTTTCCTTGCAACAAATCAGCTGATTGAACCCAGCTAATTGCTCTGCTATTCTTCTGGTAATCATATATACAATAAAAAGTTATGACCCAAATCCAAAATTCAAATGATAAAAGGACTGTAACATATTCTAAGCTACATTTGTGTTACGCTAATACATTTTTCCCATATACAGTGAAATGATTTTAATAAATTGACTATTTCCCAATCTTCAATAATACCTGTGTTATTTATTCTTGAAACTGAATTTTTTCATCTCTATCGACTCATTCGTTTCAATAATTATTGTACGAAAAGTATTATCAATAGTCAACAGTGATATATTAATTGATACACGTAGTCAATCAATGCATTATTTAATCTCGCACATGAATTGTATGATGAGGAAATAATAAGAGCTTAGGGAGAGAATTATTCTCCAGGCCCTTGAAATTCTTTTCAGTACATGAGATGTAAATTATTGAAACCAGATCATGCATCATAAGAAGGAAATCTTGGATTTTCTAGTTTTCATTTTCCGAATATGCAGTACGACAGACACTACAAGCCCAAATCAGTCTCTAAAAGATGGAGATATATTGGTCCCTAGTGGAGAAACCTTTGCTTTTGGTTTATTCAGCCCTGGAAAATCCAGAAATCGATATGTCAGATTTGGTACAATAAAGTTGCAGAACCAGCAGTTATGGGTTACAAATAGACACCATCCCATCAATGGAACCTTTGAAGATCTTGTAATCGATACTGCTGGGAATCTTGTTTTGTCGGATGAAAACCGCAATTTTTCTGTCTAGTCAACTAACATGACCTCAACGATTCTTCAAAACTCGTCTTTAATTCAGCTTATGGAGACAGGAAATTTTGTGTTGTTTCAAGATCAAAGCAAAAGTGTCATTGCGTGGCAAAGCTTTGATTATCCTACCAATACTATATTACCTAACATGAAAGCAGGGTGGCACAGAAGGACTGGATTGAACACGGTTGTCACATCCTGGAAATCTCGTGATGATCTGGGGACGGGTGAATATGAGTACAAACTGAAGCTTAATGGAACTCCTAAGTGTATATATTTTTTTTTTTTTTGTACAAAGGTTCAGACAGGTTTTGGCATTGGAATGGATTTCGCTGGAGTGGTGTGCAAGTAATGGATCCGAATTTCATCTTCAACATCAGTTACATTGAAAACGATGATGAAGTAACCATAACATATGTCGTAAAAGATCCATCGATTTTCTCAATATTGGTACTAAATGAAATGGGGACTCTGGAACGGCTTACTTGGCAAGGACCTGAGCGTGGATGGGCAAGATTTTGGTCTGCACACACAGACCAATGTGACAACTCTGCACATTGAGGAGCATACGTAATTGTGACCTATTTAATTTGAGTGAATTTGAATGTTCATGCCTTCCAGGATACGAGCCCCAGCTAGAACGTTAATGGTACCTAAGGGAAGAGTCACATGGATGTAAAAGAAAGCAAGGAGAAAATGTACGTGGAAATGGGGAGGGATTTATCAAGGTGACAGATGCAAAAATCCTGGACACTTCAGCTGCAAGCGTGAATAAGAATATAGGATTGACAGCATGTAAAGAGTTGTGCCTGAAGAATTGCTCATGAACAGTATTTGCAAGTGCTAATATCAGTGGAGGAGGAAATGTTTGCATCAGTTGGCACGAAAACTTGGTAGATATCAGGCAGTTTTCAAACAATAGCCAGGATTTGTACATAAGAGTCCCTGTGGGCGAGTTAGGTATTCAGATATTCATTGGTGAGGCTTTTGGGATGTTGCATTCAACAACATGAGAAGATGTTAGTATACGAGTACCTCCCGAACCAAGGCTTGGACAATTTCATTTTTGGTATGTCAGTTTCCCGGTTTGTGTACCATAACTCTGTGTTCCAACTTCTCACAGATGAATATCTGAATTCTAATTTGTAGAGTGAAGATATGATCGTAAACTGTGTCAAGCATATTACTCATGCATACACTTTAAATTTCACTGGTCCAGATAAAGAAAGAAGATCACATATAGACTGGAGTAAACGATACAGATCACCTTGGGAATTGCCAGAGGGATGATATATCTCCATGAAGACTCCAGAATAAGAATTTTTCACTGGGATTTGAAAGCTAGTAACATTTTACTAGACACGTCCATGTGTAAGAAAAGAAGAAATATGCAGAACTTTGTGACAGAGAGATGAAGGAATTGATCTACTGTGTATTTTCTTTTGAGTTGATGAAACCAACCAGTGAAATCTACATATATATACATCAGCTAATGGAGGCCTATAAATGGAAAATGAATATACAAGGTATGACACCATATTTACAAGGTATGCCGTGTCCATGATTTATGCTAATTGGTCCATGAATTGTGTTGCATCTGTTAGAGACGTTCTGTGAATGGCAAGAAGCTAACATAATGAGTCTACACTGGTATGACCTGTACCATTGGTATGCTGTAATACCCTCCCCCCAAGATGGAGAATAGAAGTTTACTATTCCCATCTTGAGCAAATGAGAGTAGAGAGTAGAGGAAGGCAGGGCCTTGATAAGAAGATCTGCAAGTTGCAGGTGAGTGGAGACATGAAAAGTAACAATAGAACCATCAACAATTTTGTCACGAATCAAGTGACAATCCAGCTCAATGTGTTTGGTCCTCTCATGGAAGACCGGATTGGCAACAATGTGAAGAGCTGTTTGGTTGTCACAAAAGAGCTTGGCAGCTTGAGGGTGTGAAACTTGGAGATCTGTAAGAAGGTAATGGAGCCAAGTAAGTTTAGAACAAGTAGTTGCCATTGATCTGTACTCAGATTCAGCAGAGAAGCGTGAGACCACAGATTGTTTCTTGGATTCCAAGAAATGAGAGAGCTACCCAATAAGACACAATATCCAGTGACAGAACGACGTGTTTCAGGGCAGGAGGCCCAATCTAAGTCACTATATGCAATCAATTGTAGAGAAGATGCAACTGGAAAGAGAATGCCTCGACCAGGAGCTTGCTTAATATACCTCAGCACCTTGTAGGCAGCAGCCAAATGAGCTGAGGTAGGAGCAGCCATGAATTAACTTAAAGTGTGAACAGCATAGCTTGTGGTCGTGAGATAGTTAGATATAATAATCTCCCTATTAACCTGCGGTAAATGGAAGGGTCTTGCAGCAAAACACCAGTATTCTTGCTTAACTTTAAATTTTGATCCATTGGAACCTTGACTGGCTTGGAACCCAATGTACCAGAATCAGCAAGTATGTCTAAGGCATACTTGTGCCGACAAATGTGAATGCCCTAAGGAGAACGAGCAACTTCAATGCCAAGAAAATATCGGATGGAACCGAGATCCTTAATTTTAAATTGATGGTTCAAGAAGACCTTCGAAACTGAAATTGAATTAAAGGAATCACTGGCTACGAGAATAGCATCAACATACACCAAAAGGGCTGTAAAAGAATCATCAGTAGACTTGACAAAAAGACTATAGTCAGCCTTAGATTGTGAGAATCCAAAATGGAACAAATGGGAGGTAAGTTTGGCATACCATTGTCTCGAAGCTTGTTTCAAACCATAGAGACTCTTTAGTAATTTGCAGACCTGATTAGGACCTCCCTTGGTATAGCCAGGTGGCTTGTTCATGTAGATTTCCTCATTTAAGTCACCATGGAGGAAGGCATTGTTTACATCAAATTGATATAAATGCCAACCTTAAATAGCAGCAGCAGATAATAAGCATCTCACTGTTACCATCTTTGCAACTGGTGAAAAGGTTTCGGTATAGTCAATTCTCTCTTGTTGTGTATAGCCCTTTGCAACTAAACGTGCTTTAAGTCTCTCCACATTGCCATCTGAATTTCTTTTCACCTTATATACATGCTTGCAGTCAATTGGTTCTTTATCAGGAGGCAAGTCAATGAGAAACCAAGTATTATTTTGTTCTAAGGCATGTAATTCCGCATCCATGGTTGTGCACTAGTCCGGATCTTTGACTGCTTGGCTATTAGAAGTCAGTTCAACAACAGTAGAGAAAGAAGAAGAAAAGGCTTGAAAAGAAGGGGAAAAGTGATCATAAGATAGATAATTTTCTAAAGGAAAAGAACAAGTAGAAGGAGAAATAGATACCTAAACCGTGGATTGAGTAGGTGGAGTTAAGGCAGCCTGTTGGCAGTAAAAATATGCTAAGTAGTGAGGTGCTGTATGTGTTTTGGTAGACCTGCGGATGACAGGCTCAACAAAAGGCGATGAAGGCATTGTAGGTGCAATAAAGGTGTTGTCTGATGTACAGTGAGGGTGAGAGTTACTGACAGGAGGATCATTGACAGGAGGAGAGGAAGTAGAATGGTCAAGAGAAGGAGAAGGTGTACGGGTCAAAGGTAGCGAGTTGTTACCAAAAGATGTGAAGGTAGATGAATGTGACGGAAAATTAGGAAATGGATATTCACCAAGATTAGATGATGGAGAAGTAAAATTTGGAGATGAATTTGTATGCTTCAACTCAAGATCAGTATGAGTGAGAAAAGGGAGGGATTGTTCATGAAAGATAACATTCCTTGAAATGAAAGTAGTATGAGTGGCGAGATCTAACAGCTTGTAACCTTTAATGCCAAATGGATAGCCTAAAAAGACACACTGTCTGCCTCTAGGGTCAAATTTCTTTCGGCTAATTGAAATGGTAGTAGCAAAACACAAACATCCAAAAATTTTGAGGTGAGTATATGTAGGTTTGGTAGAGAAAATAGTTTCATAGGGTGTGTTGTTAAGTAAGGGAGTAGGGGTTCGGTTTATCAGGTCAACAGCTATAAGTATACAATCATTCCAGAAATGCAAAGACAAACCAGATTGAAATCTCAAGGCTCTAGCTACATTTAAAATATGTTTATGTTTTCTTTCCACTATGCCGTTTTGCTGGGGGTCTCTACACAAGACCTTTGGTGAATGATTCCCTTTTGGTTGAAAAACTCAGTCATTTGAAACTCAACTCCACTGTCACTTCGAATTATCTTTATCTTAACATCAAACTGAGTTTCTATCATGTTGTAGAAGGATTCAAGACATTTTCTAGTTTCAGATTTTGCTTGGAAGAGATATACCCAAGTGGTTCATGAAAAATCGTCTACTATAGTTAAGAAAAATCTGCTTCCATCATAGGCAGCCACTGAACAAGGGCCCCATATATCACAATGGATCATGTCAAAAATAGCACGGGATTTATGTTGACTAATGGGAAAAGGAAGTTTCTGTTGCTTTGCAATTGGACAAACAGAGCAAGGAATAGTTTTATTAGAATTGAAAGCACCTTTTACAGCAGGGTCATCAATTAAAGTAATTTGATAAGGTAACACAATAAGAAACTTCAGAAATGATAGAAGTGAAATAAGGAGTGTTGCAGATTATGTGATCTGTAGCACCCGAATATATTGTCCAAGGAATTTTAGAAGATTGCAAAGAATTTTGATCAAAAAAGGTAAAGCAGTGAGATATACCAGAAAACTTGGAGACAGGTTGATGAACAACTTTTTCCTCACGAACTTCCTCTGGATCAGAATCAATTGACATACTGGCCTGGTTGGCAGAAAACCCAGAATTCTTTCCCTTATATAGGCTATGTCCCGGAGGGTAACCATGTAACTTGTAGCATTTTTCCATCACGTGGTCAGTCTGATGACAGTGATTGCAAATGGGAGCTTGTGCATTGCCAATCTTAAAACAATTATCAAGAGTATGACCTTGTATTCGACAATGGATGCAATATGGTCTTTCTTCCTTCCATTTACACTAGTTTTTGTATTACTTTTATAAGCAGGATAAGAGGTTTTACTAACCAAGGCCATCAACTCAGGATTTGGAGATGAACTAATGATCTCGTTTTGCTGCTCTTGCTGTTGAATAAGATAAAATACTTTGGTGACTAAAGGGATCGGATCCAAGAGCATAATTTGGTCTCTAGAATTCGTATATTTATCATTTAGTCCCATAAGAAATTGGATAACCTTGTCCCTCTGATCTCTGGCATCTAACACACTCAATTGACCACAAGTGCAAGGGGGTACAAGATCATAAATGGCAAGTTCATCCCAAAGCGTTTTAAGCTTACCATAATTTACACTTATTGGATCATTTTCTTGCTTCAGCCCAACCAAGTTCCTTTTTAATTGGAAGATTCAAGGTCCATTTTGTTGAGTAAAGCAATCTTTGAGTTCATTCCACACATCTCGTGCATCATCAACAAAAGCAACACTTGATTTTACCTCTATGCTGATCGAGTTTTGGATCCAGGATACGATCATATCATTGCACCTTTCCCAAGCATCAAGCAGAAGTTCTTCAGAATTAGTGGGTTTGGCAATGCTGCCATTGATGAACCTGAGTTTATTTCATGCTCTCAGTAGTGAGGAGATCACTGACCAGAATGATGGTGGTGTTGCCCCCATGATCAATGCAAAAGGGATTGTTTGGATTCGAAAAATCAAGAAAAGATGAAGAAGGTTTTTGGGAAGTAGTCTTTTCGGTGTTCTCTATATGTTCTGCCATTGAAAAAGGAGGAAAAACACTGAATCAGAGAATTAACCACGCTCTGGTACCATGTAAGAAAAGAAGAAATCTGCAGAACTTTGTGACTGAAAGATGAAGGAATTGATCTACCGTGTATTTTCTTTTGAATTGATGAAATCAACCAGTGAGATCTACATATATATACATCAGCTAATGGAGGCCTATAAATGGAAAATGAATATACAAGGTATGACACCATATTTACAAGGTATGCCGTGTCCATGATTTATGCTACTGTGTCCATGATTTATGCTAACTGGCCCATGAATTGTGCTGCATCTGTTAGAGATGCTCTGTGAATGGCAAGAAGCAAACATAATGGGTCTGCACTGGTATGACCAGTACCATTGGTATGCTGTAATATGAATCCCAAGATATCAGATTTTGGTCTGGCTAGAATTTTCGGAGTGAGCCAAACTAAAGCAAACACAAAAGGAGTAGTTGGAACCTAGTAAGCAATAGTTACACAATCTATTTTTGTAGAAAAAATCATACAGGACCTTGAATTAAAAAAAAGAGTCATGACTAAAACAGATTGAATTCATTGAATCTCAACTACCTAAAATTTATTATTACAGTGGTTGCTTGTCACCAGAATATGCAATGCAAGGGCTCTTCTCAAAAAAGTTGGACGTATATAGTTTTGCGGTTCTGCTGTTGGAGATCATCTATGGCAGGAAGAATAGTGGTTATATCCAGCACAACACTGTCAATTTGATTGGACGTGTAAGTATGTAAATCCTTTCCATCTATACAGAATTCATCATTTTATTATTGAATTAAGTACCCAAATTTTTTTGGGGCTGATAAAAGGAAGAAGGCTTTGATTTGATTAAATTGGAGAGTCAAATTATTGTAACTAGGTACAACTGATTTTTTCATCACTCTATGTTTCAGATTTGGGAATTGTGGAGAGCAGAAAGAGCCTTGGATATAGTAGATTCATCCGTTGGTTACTCTTATGAGGTCAGAAAAGTTTTGAGGTGCATTCATGTTGGTCGACATTTGTGCATGTAAGAATATGCGCCTGATCGGCCGACAATGTAAGAAGTAGCTTTCATGTTAGGCAATGAAACAACTCTTCATTATCCTAAGAAACTTGCATTTATCTTAAATAAATCTAGTACTACTCCATACTCGTCATCATCTAGTGCAGAAAACAAATCTGTGAATGAAAACTCTAAATACTTTCTTATTTAATTTTAATTTAACGGAGTTCACATTAGCCCGTAAAATTGAAAACTCCAGTAACAGTAGCCTTTTTATGTAGCAATATTGATTGATAGAGTTGATGTATAGTATTCACTACATGTTTCGTATGAAGCTGTCATTCTATTCAGTTTTTCCATTTTATGCTCAGAGTATGACGCCCTACCAACATCTCCAATGCTTATATTATGCATCTCACAAACACATCACGGGTAAGAGAACGGAAATTTGAATGCGGAATAGTAGTTATCAATTTCCTGGAAAACAAGAAATAATAATGCCGTGTGGAAACTTCAAAGAGGCACTAATACGTTGCTAGTCATTTTAACACCAAATTCTATCTCCATCACTGAGTATGGACTAAGGATTCTAGTATCTAAAGTCAATTTCTACAACGAAGACCAAATCAGTAATTTAATTCGAGAATGTAGCATGCAGATTGAAATATAAGTCATCTATTTGGAAAATTACGGTAGAAGAATTTTGTCGAGCCATTAGACAGCAATAACAATAATAAATTATATAAAGTATTATTAAAGGTGTTTAAAAGCTTGCCGATGATACAAGTAGGGGTGGGCGCGGGTCAGTTCAGTTCAGTTCTAAAGATAACCGAACCGAACCAAAATTTTTGGGCATCTAGTAAATGGAACCGTCGGATCCAAATATAATTATGGAACCGTTCGGGTTCGGTTCTGTTCGGTTCCGTTCGGTTCCGTTCGGTTCCGTGCTATAATTAAATTTTTTAACATTTATAACAACATTATATAAATACAACTAATGATACATTCAATGATTTTGGAATATCAGAGACTAATAGACTACCTTGTTCAAATGATCGCTACAGTCAAAGTTTCGGTCGACGGAGGTCACAGTTCGACCGAAGATTGTATAGGTTTTGGAATATTAGCAAGGCTGTGAGAGTAAGTGCGAAAGTTGAGACAATGTTATGCACTTTACTGTAGGTGTTTAGGGTTATTTAGTGGATTGGATCTTGTAGGGTTAAGAAATGAAACAATAAAATAGGTAATTGGACCAAAAATTAAAAAATTAGAAATGAAACAAATTATTGGGCCAAAAATTTGGATTTAGAAATTGTTAATTTGTTTAACAAAATTAAAATTAAAATAATTTGATTTACTCAATATAAAAAAAATTAGAATGATTCGGTTCTTCGGTTCTTGGTCTAGAATCGAGAACCAAACCACACCCGTCGGTTCTCAATTCAGATACCCGTTCAGGTATTTAATTTGACAAAAATCGTCGGGTTCGATTTAGTTCAGTTCGGGTTCGGTTCGGTTCAGGAGATTTGCCCAACTCTAAATACAGGTGTTGGAAATTTTTTTTGAATAAAATTGTAACAACAATTCATAGATTTCAAGTCTATTCAATTCCATAGTTAATTTGTATTTGAATTGGTTCGATTCCATAGTTAATTTTTGGTTACAAATTCATTCTCGACTATTGCAAAATTATTTGTGTTAAATACAAAATTAACTAAGAAATTGAAACCTCTATGATCCTAGTGCTATATAAGAAAGTGTTCTCCTCCTCATTCTTGACACAAAAATTTTGAGAGTTCTTTCTTCTATCCAACTTTCTCTCCTCTTTCTTTATTGTCAAGAATCGCGTAGTTAGTAGTTTAGATAATTTGTTTGTTCTACCTTGGTGATAGAATCGTGAGCATTCTTAGTTCACCTAAAGTAGTGAAATTAAAGGTACTAGTCAGCCAATTTCAATAGTTATACCCTTGGAGATAGACACGATCAATCCTCTTGCACCACAGTGGAGGACGAATCTGTTTTAATAAAAAGAAGTTTTTTCTTGGAGGCTAGGTTTTAAGTGGGACCATTTGTGACTTCCATCTAACCTGGAACTGCATATTTTCAAAGGAGAAAAGACTTAGTGGGGTTGGCTTTAGACCCCTCTAGTCTTCTTTGAAAATTATTTGTAGGGTGCTATTTGGTCATCGGAAAAAACAACATATTTTTCAAGTGGAAAATTAACATATTATTGTAATTGAAAAAATAGCATAATTTTCAAACTGTATTACTAAGTGGAATAATCGTATCTTGAAAGAGATGATGAATGTAATGTTCTGGATTAACTCGGAACATGTAAGGAGAGGCTATTTTGTCAGTAAAGTATTTTTTAAATAAGGTGCTCGAGAAAAAAGAAGACAAGACCCTTTATGAATTATGGAAAGGAAGGAAGTCTTCCTATAAATTCTTATGAATTTGAGAATGTTTTGTTAAAGTGGTCGTACCTATACCTAAGAATGTGAAAATTGGTCCAAAAACAGTTGCCTGCATTTTCATTGGTTACACACATAATAGTATTGCATATCGGTTCCTTGCATGAATATGAAATTCCTTACATACACAAGAACATAATAATGGAATCAAGAAATGTATCATTCTTTGAAAATGTATTTCTTTGTAAGTCTAAAGAATGTTCAAGTTCTTCAAAACTAACATTCAAAAAAAATAAGGACCAAGACACGAAGAAAATGAAGAGGTTCAAGATAAACTTAGACATAGTAAAAGAGCAAGGATAGAAAAATCTTTTGGTCAGAATTTTTTGACCCATTTGTTAGAAAGTGAACCTTGAATGTTTAAAGAAGCAATATACTCTACTGAAAGACCTTTGTGGAAAGAGGCCATTAAGAGCAAATTGGATTCCATATTTCAAAATCATACTTACAAGTTAGTAGATCTTCCCACTAGATGTAAACCTCTAGGATCAAAGTGGATTTTTAATTTTAGATTTGTATGTAATATTATTTTATTGAAAAATGTGTGGTTGAACATAAAAAAATAAAAAAATATATTTTGGAAATAATGGAGACCAAACAAGGGCTTGATGTACAACATTTAATAAGTCATAAAATTCAGTACTCTACTTCTTAAACTATTTAGACTCATTAAATTGATTGGTCACTGACATATACAAAATTTTGCTAAATAAAATATGAGAAGAAGTCAATAGATATTTTTGAAAAAAAGCAAAAATGAAGAGTCAAAATAAAGATAATTATTGGAGTGTACATAATTTTTGACTTTCTAAATTTATAGTTGCTCTCTATAATGTGTAATTGGAGATGTTCTAAATACATTAATCTACCAAATAGCCAGGTAACGGTCACAATAATTCCAAGAGTATATCTCTATATCGTAGATAAATTATCAATTATTAACATTTGATTTAAACAAATACTCACCTCTTAACTTATTACTTTCACGAGTCAATTAATTATTGTTCAAAAAATTAATTGAATCAAGCACAATAATAAAAACGATGCACATCAATAAATATGAATATAAATCAAGGATTCAGTTTAAAGCTACTTTGTTCATTCTAACTACGAATTTAGCCGGAAAACATTGTCATCAAATGAGAAAATGCATATTAAAATAGTGGTACGACACCGGGTTTTAAAGAACAAGAGAAGACCTTGATATCAATCTTGCACTTACATTGAATTCTCCATCTTTTTAGCCCCTATTTTCTCAAGTTTAATCTCCCAAAAATACATAAATTTCGAACCATATTAATGAATAAAAAGTTTATATTTATAGTTTGAGACTTGTCCTCGTAAAACTAGTCCAAAACATGACCTAAACACCCTTAAAAAAGTGAATTGGTCGAGTTTTAGTTGAATTCCAAGGCAAGCGTCAACCAGAACTTGCACGCGCTGGCTAAATCCATATCCAGTGCATGCAGGCACCAACAAATGCTTGCAAACACCAGAATTTTCTCCCTTTCTGCGGCCTCAGTCGCTGTACTTCTAGCTTCTGTAAATTTGGTTTCCATTTTTCAAATTTTTGTTCCATTTTTGTTGGGTTTGTACCCAAATTCGATAAGTTTTTTTGGAAAAATACTTTTTTTATTTTATTTTACACATTTTTATTGGAAAATTATTTTTTCCTTTATTCCAAGTGTATTTATTGAAAAATATTTTTTCTTTATTTCACGTGATTTTTTATCTTGTTCCCATCTTTGTGGTATTTGTAGAGTTTGACATGCACCCTTATATATACTAAACTCTTTTTACAAGTTCTGTATTACTAAAATATAGAATAATTTTGTAGGCAAAGCTATTGTATTTATTTTCTCCATATTACTCAATTAAATAAAATACTCTATTCCTCTGTCAATCAATTCTTTGCCTTTATCTTCTTGTTTGTTTGCAGTCATATATTTCATATCATGTCATGTATATTGCCACAATCATTTTATTTCCTAATAAGTGGTATCAAAGCTATTGATTGTGATTTGTTCGATGTTTTTATTATTGATTACAGCCATGAAGTATAAAATTCCGCTCTCGGATCACAAATTGTAGCTAATGAATATGCTAGTTATACTTGTACATATAGATTTGGATGATGTGTTGTTGAGATTTGACCAAATGCCTACAACTTAGACAACGGAGGAGAAATAATGGAAAGATTGGAAGGTATTTTTGCAAATCTATCTTTATCCCTCTAACAATATTATTGAAGGAGAAAATGGCAATTGTGTTGTAGTTGAAGTTGGAGCAATTATAAATGACAAGAAAATTGCATCTGAAGCAAAAAATTATGTTCTCATCACATGGGCAGAAGGCGGATTTGTGGAAGATCGACTGACAGTGTTCTAGGGCTAAATATGGTCCGATTCGATTCGGTTATAATGAGAACTGAACCAAACCTGAAATTTTGGGTATTTAGTAAGTAGAACCGTCAGATCCAAATTTAATTATGGAGCCATTCAGGTTCAATTCCATTCAGTTCAGTTTGGTTGGGTTCGGTTCATAGGTTCCATATTATAATTTATTTTTTTAATATTTATAAAATTACATTAATTCAACTAATGATATGTTCAATTTTAACTCTTACAAAAAATGTAGTTCAATCTTATATGTCTTTTGCGTCTCTCTGTGATGAGCTTTTCAAAAATTTGATTGTTAAAATCACAAAAAGGAAGATAACGAGTTTACAATAATCAAGAGAGGCTTTGTCAAGTTTCAATTCGATTGGATAAAATTTAGATCAATTTGATTAAGTTGACTTTGGACTGAAAATTAGAAATAGGAAAATCATATTTTTGGATTTAAGCAAAAGTTATTAGTTAGCAAATTTATTTAGAAAAATAAATTAATTAAAAAAATTAGGGAGGAGATTCGGTTCTTAATCTAGAACCGAGAATCGAACCGAACCCGTCGATTCTCGATTCAGATATTCATTCGGATATTTAATTTAAGAAGAACTGTTCGATTCGGTTCGATCGGTTCGGTTAGAGAGTTTTGTACAACCCTATCACGTTCAAAGGAGATCATCACCAATTTGGAGACTATAAAAGTACAATATAACGAAGAATATTTGGCTTTAATCCTTTTGTGCTCGTTGTCCACTCCATTTATTTTGTTTGGAGATACGATTTTGTTTAGTCTTGATTCTCTCACTATTGAATATGCGTATGTTGCCTTGTTTTCAAAAAAGAAGATGAAGCATTTAGTTGGATATGAGGCCAGAAAAGGAGAAGGCCTTGTTGTTTATGGCGATCTGAGAAGGGGTAAGTCGATGTCAAATTTCAGTAATTAGTTTTGTTATTATTGTAAGACGAAAGGATACATTAAGAGGGATTGATTCAAATTGTAGAATAAAGGTAATTTAACTACAAATCATGATAAACAATCAAATACTTCAGATGAGACCAACATCGTCGAAAACTATTTGAGTGATGGATATGTTTTGACAATTTCTAACATGGAATCTAAACCTAACGATGAGTGAATTTTGGATATAGTACCGTGATGGAGATTCAATTTGGTACTATACCTCTAAAATCTGGTTTGGGTCCATATTTAAGAATATTTATAACACTCCCAAATCTAGATACCTAGATTTAGAAGTATTATCATTTCATTTTCTCTTAAAATCATAGATGCGAACAAGGGATTAAATTTTTTTCTTTAATATAATGAACATCATTGACTTCGTTTATAAACATAACTGTGTAGAAAACTTTTGCATTTAAATAAAATAATAATGAAATTAAATGTTATCTTTAATTTCTAAAAGAAGTCGATTTTTGGATGTATTAGTACTGAATCCATCACACCATAAGTAGTCATCTCAAATCATTTTGGCTTCATCATCTGAAATTAGGAAAGGATAACATGGGACGAGCTAACGCTCAGTGAGTAAACTTCATGCATATGATATGCAAATGAATTACTTTACAATAAAAAAGCATATTTTATATGTATCCCAGTTTTTTCATTTCTTTAAAAACTTAAAATTGACGTCCTAAGCTCACTTGGTGTATCACCCAACCAATCAGAATACAGTGGACAATTCTTATTTGGAATCCGGTCGAGTCCTACTGGTAGTAGTGCAAAGTGGTTAACATTAACATTGTCATTAAATATTGAACATTGGTCGGGTGCGATAGTCCCCCACGCCCCATTTCCCACTCACACCTTTCATAGCATAGATATACACCTCGTAATAAAAACATTCGAGATACATCTCTTTTATAAACATCATTTGACTCGTGACATTTGGAAACCTTTTATTTATTGAAATTTCATATATGCTTATGGATGCATTAACTTGCATGGATATGTCATGAAAAACATTAATAACATAAAACATAATAATCAAATATCAAGATCACGTAATAACAGATTCTGGTCACATATTTAAATGTTTAATAGTGAAATGTGCGTGGGAGGTTTACTTACCTGAAATGCTTAACAATTTACTTCTAATTAGATATCAAGTGGAGATGTCATTAGCCACCAACGAGATTAGAGTGCCGAAATCCTAAGTCACAATTCTAATTAAGTAAAAGAATATAATCCATACAAAAGTGAACTGTTGGAAAAATAAAGAAAGTAACAAGAGAGCATGAACAGTGATGGAAATGGTAAAAAAAATACTAAAGGTTGTTTAAAGATAAAAATACTAAAAATTAAAAGAGTCATTTTATTTATTTATCTCTCCCTATTAAAAGAGTATGAGCAAATAGGAAAGTAAAGGAGATCAAACCTTGTATTAGCATAGGTAATAATTTCCGAAAATTTAAAGCAATTAGTACCAAATTAATGCAATTAACATTAAGTTAAAAGTTAAAGGATATTTTCAACTTTCCAACACTAATCTAGGTAATTTGATCATGATTCTCCAAGATAACTATGACATATACCTCTTTCCATATTTATTTATTTATTTATTGGGCTAATAAACATGTGAATCCTTGTGGTCAAAGAATTTAAAAGTTGGCACTACACCAAAAATCACTTTTTGCAACGGACAAAAAAAGTTGCCGTAGACCTATCGCAACGTTCAGGCGTCTGTTGTGAGTCTCAACGTTGTCGTAGAGCGAAGAGTTTTGACAACGTTCATTGCACGTTGCGAAAACTTGGTTTTGAACGTTGCCAAAACACCCTTTTAGCAACGTGAAATGCACGTTGCAAATGAGCTTTTGACAACGTTCAATGAACATTGCAAATGAGACTTTTGGCAACGTTCAATCATTGCAAATGAGACTTTTGGCAACGTTCAAGTAGGTCGTTTACATTTTTTTTTTCCATATTTGTATAACAATTTACCAAATCAACCACAAAATGAAAAAGACTTTTTGGGCCTTCAATTGATATAATTTTATTAATCCATACCAAATAATCAAGATACATCACTGTAATAAATCGAAGAAAAATTTTGATTTACATATTGCCCATCAAATAAACATCATCTTACACTCCTCTTAAACAACAAAAAATTATTGTATAAAAGAAGATAATTTACAACTTGTAAGCTAAGTAAATGGCTAGAGACAAACACCATATCAAACATCTGTAGACTCCACCTCTCTTCGCCTGCGAATGTAAGCTATACCATCCCTATTTTTGACGACTTGAACCCTGTAGAGATATCAAACATCAAAAGCTAAGTAGATGGCTAGAGACAAACACCATATCCTTAACATCACTAATTTTGCTGAAGAGAGAGTGAGGCTAATTTCTGCTAATCCATAAAATACAAGAGTCTGACCAGCATATTCGTCAAATGGCCATCTCTTTTTAATTCAATTGATTCATCAGAAAACTCCTAGACAAATTGGATGAAAAATCCTAGACATTTTATCACAGAAACATTAATTGTACCTCGCATTTTGTTGACAACAAGAGTTTCCAGCACTCGGCTTGAAATTTTTTCAGCAATAATGAATAGAGGAACACTCAATTGGGCGGTCTTTTCCAACAAAGGCACAATATCTTTCACAGTTGATATCTTTTGAGCAGTCACAAGAACTCTAGCATTTTCAAACTCCACCAGAGATTTATTCTTATTCATAATGAAATGAGGTGACACGTACCCTTTGTCAATCTATAAGGAAAGAACGCTTATAGAGGAATCAAGGAAATAATATAACATGAGGGAAAAAAACATATTTATATGTAAAAAAGAAGGATATCACCACTAGTTTCATAAGAAAGGTCCATAGTCAATCTCAGTTTCAGTCTGTAGCTTTGCATAAAACCTGTAAGTAGTATGATATCCTCTAAAATGATTCGTAAAATTTGTCCTTGCTCCTTCGGATCAAAATGTAATTTTTTTTTTTTATTCGACTTCTACAAATTAGAATTCAATTAAAGAAATTAATTGAGGGCATAACAGTAGCTTTATCTCCCAAAGGCAATACTCAAAAATTACAATAGCAAAAAGACAAATAACAGCTATTGGTTCAGCCACTCTATGGACATGTAAATACGTACATTCTCAATGTGTAGTAGTCATCTATCATGTTGCAGAAAGCATTCAAAAACTCTATATACATGTAAATAATGTGTAGGATCATGTTGCAGAAAGCATTCAAAAAGCATGCTGCAAAAACTCTCTACCTGCCACTCCATGGACATGTAAATACATACATTCTCAATGTGTAGTAGTTATCTATCATCCTGCTATCTGATTAAATTTTCCAAAAAAGCATTCAAAAAAGCACGAACACCTCATCATCATTTAACATATAACTTACAATGCACAGTTGCATGGAATGGTAAAGATCAGAAATTATAAAACCTCCAACTCATAAAAATGATTTTATCACTATCTGTTGTTTTATTTATTTGATTGCTAGATATCTTTCCATTAATATAGAACAAAATTCTATGTTCAATCAATAAAAATTGATCTGGAATTTGAGATCAATCATTAGAAGCTTATTTGTGTAACCATAGATTAGGGACGTTAATAGGATATAATAAAAAATTCAAATGCTGACCATTGCAGTTCAAATGTCAGAGCTACATTTGTGTTTCCTGTGCAACCAGAGTTACACGTACGAAGTACTCGTATCAATGGATGGCCACTCGATTAAAAATTTGTACATTCAATCAACTAAGCAAATTGCATATGCTAAATACTGGATCAGTTGAAAAAATGGCATTGCAACTTGCAAGTGTTCTCTCTTCATTTTGGGGCTTCAAAGCAAGCTAATCAAGTACGTGAGGAGATAAAAAACTATAAGAAAAACTTCAATTAAAAGCTAGCCTTTAGAAGAAACAAAAATATTAGAGTCTATGCTACTCGTAATAGTACTTAACTATGCCCAAATACATTTTGCACCAATCTAGAAATTAGGGAATCTACATTTTCGTTATATTTCGTGATCAAAATTGTTAAAGTGGAGCTTGAGCACACATCCTCATCTATCTCTACCGACCCTCTGCACTTGGCATCTTTAGAAATCATACCATCCTGTGAATTTGATTTGTGCACTAGAAATTCAGAAAGATTTCTATTGCCATTTTGTGGCCTAAGGATTCTTCTAAATGACTTTAATTAATAAGAACACAAATCAAACTGAATTTTACTTCTAATAAAACTTTATTGCCCCTTTTCAATTAACTTAAACATAATGAAGACCGTGAGAGATATTAGCCTCAAATTTCTTCCCTATATCACTGACGGTTCATAAGTTCGAGTTGGGTGTTCAAGGGTAAAATCTCCTTTCGCCAAAAAATAAAAACAAACCATGAAAATGGAACCCAAGTCTCGATATCTGATTAAACGCGCTTTCCCAACTGCGCACCCGCAAAGAGAAACACAATAAACTAAAGCACAACCAGACATTAACGAATTTAAGTTCAGTAACAAATGTGTATAAAGAAGACAAAAAACAAAGGAAAACCTATCAAGAAATTTAAATTAATTTGGAACACGTGCTCATACGAACGCACTTACTTGGTCAAAAGCATTTGGTTCAGTACCATAGTCAGCAGTGAGAAGGAAATAAGAAGTAGTTACAGCAGCCACCATTGTTGTCCACCTGCGACTCAAGACTGGCTGCTCCCAACGACAACTATAAATTTCGACGGTGTGAGGTGAATGAATCGGTTTGGGGTTTGGATTATTTTGGCTCTATTATGGGAAAGGGAAGGAAGTATTGCGAGAGCTTCAAAGGCTCCCTCGCCGTCAACACCGAAATCGAAGTCCTCGTTGGTGAGGACGTTGATGACATAGCCAACGATTGCCTGGTCGACGTCCTGGATGCGATGCCCAATGACCTCTTGCACCACCGAGCTTGCCAATGGAAAAGATGGAAGTGAATGGATCAGGGCGGAGACAGGAGAAGATGGAGGTAGAGATGAGAGATGGAAAAATTAGGGCTTATGATTTGATATTGAGGAGTTTTTCTTTGGGGAAATGAGTTGGAAAGCCACGCCTAATAGACATTTTGTCCAATTGGCCTTTGATAAAAATTATAAAAATAAAAGAAATTTTAATTATTTAAAAGTGTCAAAAGACTTTTTTACCCTTAACTTGTAAAACAAAAATGAAGAAGAGATTAGAGTTTTTTTCTAAATTTGCTGAAGTCGTGACTTGAACCTTGGTTGGAGAGAAAATATTTTAACTTCACAACCATTATGGTAAGTGATGGTCCTTTGTTTTTTGTGAGCAAAATATATATATTACATTTCAAACAATTGTTTCATTTTCACTTCAAATATAAAATTTAATTAAAATTAAATTTTAACAATAACCCACTGGTTGAACCATTGACCCGGTGATTTTTTTCAAGTAGATTATCGGGTTGGCTCTAATATCTATACATTCATGTTCTAACACACACAACATTCTCTTCTTTCGAATTCAAAATTATCTTCTCGTTAGAATTCGAACTCTTCTTTTTAAGTTTAAGATCATCTCTTCTTCGTAATAAATCTCTGATACACCCAAAGTTTTAACATTGTCCATAACTTAGCAACTAATTGAAAACAATTATTGAGTCATTTATTCATTAGACACCTATTATAACACGTGAAATTTTTTAAAATAAATTTTATCGTTGTATTTTGAAAAAAAAATGGACAAAAAATATTTTTTAAATTTCTATCTTATTAGAATCCAATAATTAGATTTTAATAAAAAGCGATGTAATATATCGATATTGGACTCATTTTAAAGTTTATAATTAATAAGAACTATTTGACTAAAAAAAAGTCGATTTGGATAAGTCAGCACCAAGGTATTTGCAGTTTGAAGAAATCGTAAAATTTAACTTATCAACTTAATAAAAATGTAGAATGGAAATAAGCTGACACTGTTTCACTGATTTGCATAACGACATTGAAATCGTTCCTGAAATATAAAACGACTTCGATATCGTTTCAACATCGAATACACTCTGCTTGACTGATTTGTATAACGATGTTGAACTCGTTCCTGAAATACAAAAAACAATGTATATGTCGTTTCGATATCAAACACACATAGGTGCACGCTATGGAATAAGTAAACAACGTTATATCGTTTCAATTCAATTTTCGACGAGAATAATATCGTTCATATTCAATCGTAACTATAATGTCATACATATCGTTTTAGAAGTGGTTACACTAGAACGTTATAACTACGATATTAAATGTAATTAAAATTTACATATTTTCGTGACTTTTTATAATTTTCAAGTTTACATATTGTACATATTCAGAATGTGAACATTGTGCATATTCATGTAACGATATATACTTCGTTTCGATGACACATAAAGTCGTTGATGTCGTTTTAGTATAAAATGCTCTTATTCTAATAACGATTTTGAAACTTCCCCCTAGGCACAAAATAATAACTAGAACGACATATGCATCGTTTCTTTTCAAATTTAACGAGTTTGAAATCATTACAGTTTAAATAATAATTAGAACGACATATGATGACCGAAAGAAGGCATCAAGTGGATTGATAGCACTCGAATAGCTCAGAAAAAGCGAATGGAGATACTATCTTTCTTTCTATTGAATGATATCGAACTCATTTAGTGACTTATTTTATCATCCTACATACGATAAATATATGTCAGGTGACCGTGGACAATCGAATCGTCATTTTTAAAATTATCCTTGTAGTTAAGATTTAAACTAAAGCGATATCAATATTATCAAAATTGTACTAAAGCGATAATAGTATCATTATGTATCAAACCCACAAAATAAGACAATGACTTCCAAATCATTATAGTACAAATTTAATGAGTTTGAAATCATTCCAATTCAAATCACAATGATAATGACATAGATACCGTTTATTTTTATATAAAACGATATTTATATCGTTTTAGCTAAATATAAAGATTCGATCGTTCACAACCACCTGTTATGCTTTCAGCATATGTAGAACGATCGAAAAAGGTCATTAAGTGGATTGATATCACTCGAATGACTTAAAAAGAGCGAACGAAAATACTTTTTTGTCGAAATAGTTCGAAGGTGGTATACAATTATGAGAGCAAAAATGTTCTCATAGTTTCTTTCAAGGGAGATCGAACCCACTTAATTATCTATTTTGATCATCCTATATATGTCAGATGCATGTCTGGTGGTCGAATCGTTATTTTTAGCATAAATGATATAATTGTCGTTTTATTTTAACTGAAACGATATGTATGTAGTTTTAGTTATGATTTAACCTAAAATGATATCAACGTCGTCAAACTTGTATTGAAACAATAATGATATTGTTATATATCAAAATCACAAATATAGTAACGATATTCATATCGTTTTAGTACAAATTTGACGAGTTTGAAATCGTTCCAATTCAAATCACAAGTATAACGATATAGATATCATTTCGTTTCATATAAAACGATAATTATATCGTTCTACCTAAAAATAACGATTTGACCGTCCACAACCACCTGTCGTGTCTTTAGCATACGTAGGACGATCGAAAGAGGTCGTCAAGTGGGTTGATACCACCAATATAAGGGGATTTCGAACTAAGCTAATGAAGGTGATTCGCTCCGATTCGAAAGTGGTATACAATCATGAGAACAAAAATGTTCCCATAGTCGCTTTTAAGGGAGATCAAACCCATTTAATTACCTATTTTGATCATCCTACATATGTCAGATGCATCCTTAATAGTCGTTCGAATCATTATTTTTAGCAGAAACGAAATAAGTATCGTTTTATTTTAACTGAAACGATATGTATTTAGTTTTAGTTATGATTTAAGCTAAAACAATATCAATGTCATCAAACTTGTATTGAAACGATAATGATATCGTTATGTATTAAAATCACTAATAAAGTAACGACATTCATATCGTTTTAGTACAAATTTGACGAGTTTGAAATCGTTCCAATTCAAATCACAAGTATAACGATGTAGATATTGTTTCTTTTCATATAAAACGATAATTATATCGTTCTATCTAAAAATAACGATTCGACCGTCCACAACCACCTGTCATGCCTTCAACATATGTAAGACGATCGAAAGAGGTCATCGAGTAGGTTGATACCGTTTGAATGACTTAGAAAGAGCAAACGAAGATACTTTCTATTGGAACAGTTCGAATGTGGTATATAATCATTAGAACAAATATGTTCTCATAGTTTCTTTTGAGGGAGATCGAACCCATTTAATTATCTATTTTGATCATCTTAAATATGTCAAATACATGTCTGGTGGTCATGAATGGTCGAATTGTTATTTTTAACATAAATAATATAATTGTCGCTTTATTTTAATTGAAACGATATGTATGTAGTTTTAGTTATGATTTAAGTTAAAACGATATCAACGTAGTCAAACTTGTATTGAAACGATAATGATATCGTTATTATCAAAATCACAAATAAAGTAACGACATTCATATCGTTTTAGTACAAATTTGACGAGTTTGAAATCGTTCCAATTCAAATAATGACTATAACGACATAGATATCGTTTCTTTTCATATAAAACGTTAATTATATCGTTTTGACTGAAAATAACGATTCGATCGTCCACAACCACTCAACACGTCTTTAACATACCAAGTACGATCGAAAAAAGTCATCAAGTGGGTTGATACCACTCGAATGACTTAAAAAGAGCGAACGAAGATACTTCTTTTTATCGAAATAATTCGAATGTTGTATACAATTGTGGAAACAGAAATATTCCCATAGTTTCTTCTGAGTGAGATCAAACTCACTTGATTATTAATTTTGAGCATCCTACGTATGTCAGATGCATGTCTGGTTGTGATGGACGGTCAAATCGTTGTTTTTAGCATAAATGATATAATTATCGTTTTATTTTAACTGCAACGATATGTATGTAATTTTAGTTATGATTTAAACTAAAACGATATAAACGTCGTCGAACTTATATTGAAACGATAATGATGTCGTTATGTATCAAACTCGCAAATAAAGTAACAACATTCATATCGTTTTAGTACAAATTTGACGAGTTTGAAATCATTCCAGTTTAAATAATGACTATAACGATATAGATATCGTTTCTTTTCATATAAAACGTTAATTATATCGTTTTGACTGAAAATAACGATTTGACCGTTCACAACCACTCAACACGTCTTTAACATACCTAAGACGATCGAAAAAAGTCATCAAGTGGGTTGATGACATTCAAATGGTTTAGAAAAAAACGAACGAAGATACTTCTTTCTGTTGAAATATTTCGAATGTTGTATACAATCGTGGGAATGGAAATATTTCCATAATTTCTTTTGAGTGAGATCAAACCCACTTGATTATCTATTTTGAGTATCCTACATATGTCAGATTTATGTCTGATGGTTGTGGACGGTCGAATCATTGTTTTTAGCAAAAACGATATAATTGTCGTTTTATTTTAATAGCAACGATATGTATGTAGTTTTAGTTATGATTTAAGCTAAAACGATATTAACGTCGTCAAACTTGTATTGAAACGATAATGATGTCGTTATGTATCAGACTTACAAATAAAATAACGACATTCATATCGTTTTAATACAAATTTGACGAGTTTGAAATCGTTCCAGTTCAAATAATAACTATAACGACATAGATATCGTTTCTTTTCATATAAAATGTTAATTATAACATTTTGACTAAAAATAACGATTCAACCGTCCACAACCGCTCAACACGTCTTCAACATACCTAAGACAGTCGAAAGAAGCCATCAAGTGGATTGATGGCATTCAAATGACTTAGAAATAACGATCGAAGATACTTGTTTTTATAGGAATAGTTCGGATGTTGTATACAATCGTGGGAACAGAAATGTTCCCATAGTTTCTTTTGAGTGAGATCAAATCCATTTGTTGACCTATTTCAATCGTCCCATTTATGTCGAATACATGTCGGGTGGTCGTGGATCGTTGAATCGTTGTTTTTAGCAGAAACGAT